AGCAGTGCAAGCCTATCTGAACTTCAACAAAGTCGACAGGATACCATACAGCTGCCTACTGCGCAACCTAGTCTGCACAGGCAACTCTGACATGGCCATGCAAGGTTCGCTGCAGCGAGACTCGATCTCCAGCAACTCGGCTTCATATGAGGGGTTCACCACACTCAGCCATGTGCGAAAGCCATGAAGCCAGGCACCCCACTGAACAGCATCATTCTCAGTACTCTCTGACCCGAACGGATCAGGGTGCTTTAGCAACTTGTAGGCATGAAAGGCACTCCCATTGTCGGCGGACCCCTTTGCTGAAGAACCCTCGGCAACAAGCTTGGCAACGGACTGAGCACTCAACGCTGCTGCCTGAGCCGCCTGGGTAGCGGCCTGAACCATCTCAAGCATCATCGTCGAGGCGTCTGGAACAGTAGGCACTCCAGCTGCAGCAGGGCTTCCATCAAGCGGACTGTTGGATACAGGAATCTGACTCGGATCCATTGTTTCTAAAATTGGGCTCAAAATTCAGGCAGAGTATACTCAAGGCACAAAGACGAAAAATCTTCAATCAAGATCAATCGGCTCAGCTGATCGTTTAAGCTTCTTGAAGACAGGAGCAGGCTCAGCCGCAGAAGCTGATCTCACCTCGTCTCCGGCAAGTACGATCGTATCCTTGCGCCCGGCAGACCCAGTAGTGGAAGAAGCCTGGGCCTCCCCAAAGATCTCCAACGCACGCCACACGAACGCTGGCAGCAAATCCGGATCCTTATCTAAAAGCTTGCACCCGTAAGCTAAGATGGCAGGCGCCGACTCCAACTCCTTGAGCTGTGACCTGTGCTGGTCCTGTGCAAGGCGCTGCCTCCTGCAGAAACTGTGTTGACTCAATGAAGGGGTCACTGGCTTCGTTGTCTGAAGCTCCACAAACCACTCCAACACACAATCCCTTAGCTGTTGAAGCCTCTCGGGCTCGTTCCAATCTTCACAATCAACAAGACGGTAAATTTCGGTCTGAGTGGTTGCACAAGGAATGGTGTACTGCAGAGTCACACCCGTCAGGCGTGAGGCGCTATGGCGGCAAACGGATCTACCTACTCTACCCGAGCACTCACGGTCCCTTGACACGTGCAGTGCTCCGCTACCATGAAAACTTTTGGCTTGAACAAAGCGCCTGCAAAATCCGTCTATTCAGCATGGTTCACAATGGCGGCAACAAAACTAGAGACTACCAAAGCTTTCAGCAAAGGTGCGAAAATCACATACCAAATCATACTTGGCATACTGTACTCCCACCACACCTCCAGATACCAAAATCCTAGGCACTTTTGCTCCTTGATGCCTTTTTTTGCTTTTTGTAACATAGCGCCGACTTTTTGCAGTAACATTTTTGCTAGAGTGCTTTTGCCGGGGTTTGCCTCTTTTTGGTTGAGAACACCCTCACCGTTTTGGACCCCGCAGTAGGTTTGATCCCCAGTTGCCCTGCTAGCGTTTTGCACTTCCATAACCCTAACCCGTAGGGCCCCTTCCCACGTCCCAGCGTTGCTTGAGTTGAAGTTGTGTTTCCCGCGCCGCGGTTCCCCAGGTAGGACCGTGAACATGAACATGGTTGCTAAGCAGTACGGCAACGTAAAGGCGGCACACACACACGACGCCACCAACATAACAGCACGAGGCAGCGTGGCAGCACACACTTAGCATCCTTAGCAACTTGGAGACAGCATGCCCGTAGCTGCACTGTAAAGGGTGGGTCGGAAGGACTGGGACGAGATTGCTGGGAGCCTCAGATTGCAGGTAGACTGACGTAGTGTCGGTAGGATGCTAGGGTCGTAGGTCGTAGGAGTGCTGGGTGCGAGCCATAGGCTTGTAGGACTTTGTTGTCGCTTTGTGTCGTAGAACGCCTGCCTCGCTGCTCAGGTCCAGAGGTTCAACGTGCTCCAGCGTCTTCGTCTGATGCCCAGAGGGTTTTTTAGAGGGTTGTTTCGGCGGGTCTTGCTCGTATGAACGCCGCTAGAGCTCGTAAGCTTTGCGGTGTGAGTGGTGATATCTGAGCCGCTGCATGGTCTCGACTCGTCATCGTGAAGCTCTTCATCTGGACCCTCGGCGTCTCGTGTGAGTTTCTGCGATCTTCGGGTCGCGGAGTCCGCAGTCTTCGGGCTGCGTCGTCACAGGCTTCGGCCTGTGGCTTGGCGCGATCTTCGGGTCGCGTGTTCTGCAGTCTTCGGGCTGCGTCGTCACGAGCTTCGGCCCGTGGCTTTGCGCGATCTTCGGGTCGCGTGTTCTGCAGTCTTCGGGCTGCGACGGCGGTCTTCGGGTCGCGAATCGGCGCGATCTTCGGGTCGCGTGTTCTGCAGTCTTCGGACTGCGGCTTGACATGATCTTCGGGTCGTGGATTCCGCAGTCTCGCGGGGCTGTGCTGCCGCCGTCTTCGGATGGCTACTGCAGTCTTGAGTCGCTTAAGTCAGCGAGCCGAAGCTCGACTTATGAGAATCTTTGGTGGAGAGGCTGGGGAGCTAAAAAAATGCATCATTTCACGCGTGCGTGACA